ACTTTGCAAAGTTAGGAAAAAATTTTGCGACAAAAAATTATTTTTGGACCAGTGTATATATGTGTGTACATATATATATATATATATATATATATATATATATACCTATATATATAGGATGTTCGAAAAATATGGTAACTTCTTAATATTTCGGAAACTAAGCATTTTTGAGAAAAATGTTAAACAAAAGTTATAGGGCTTAAAAGAATCTATTTAATAATTTCATCAGTTTGGGTGGCGTCGTCAAAGTCACGTCAGGGTCTCATCGATTTTTTTTAATAAAGCACCCTACTTTTGGTTCCAGAATCTAATAACTGGTGTCATGAGCTTTCCAAAGCATTATAAATAAAATACTTTTTGGTTAAATAAATGGCTAAAACGTTTTGAATGTTGTTCAAGATCATGATCTTGACAACATATGTCAAGATCAAGGCCATTAAAGGTTGGTATTCATATTTTCATTTTTGAAAATTTTTATTTTTTGAAAACAACAACGTCCATAGTCATAACCTTAACATATGTTGTCAAACTCATGATCCTAAACAACATTCAAAAGATTTCAGCCATTATTCGGACACCTTGGATAATACATAGAAACTGTAACGTTAAAGCTTTATAATTAAAGATTTACTTAACCAAAAGTATTTTATTATATTGCTTTAAAAAGCTCTTGATGCCAGCTATTAAATTTTGGAATCAAAACTAGGTTGCTCCATTTAAAAAAAATTAATGTGACCTTTACATGATCTTGGCGATGCCATTAAAAGTCTGATAAAATCATTAAATAGACTTTTTTAAGCCCTACAACTTTTTCCTCAAAAACGCTTAGTTTCCGAAATATTAAAGGGTGCCATACTTTTCGGACACCCTGTATATATATATTCCGTAATATGTCTTGATAAAAAATAGAAAAAAGAATTTTACAATGAAAATACTTCAATCTTTATACCTGTTTATCCCTCTCCGCAGTGGCTTTACCAGAGTCGAAGTCAACCGTAGTCTTCGAAGTAAGATCAGGCTTCTCGCGTATTTTGTCCATGATAAACTCCATGACTTCCATAATAGCGTCTACGGTGCCTGTGATAAGACATACTCTCTCGGTAGTTCCTGTAACAGATGAGCAAAACGGTAATCAATCAACCGGACAAAAATGCAGCCACGAGAACGTGCGTACACGGAAGCTAAATGCATACCCGGATAAAAATCATGCGATTTAGACATTTTCACCCTTGCCCCTGTATCCTTTTGAAGTTGAGCAATTGTGTCTCCACCTTTCCCGATAATAGCCCCGGCCGCCACGCCGGGGACCAATACTTTGAGGTGATACGTTCCATCTCCCCCTACAAATCAGAGCAAGCTGTTCTCTTAATTGTGTTTTTATTTGTGCAACATTGTTATATAACTGTGAAATATTATATAATGTATGGTATACAAAGAATACCAGAATTCGCGAACATGGAAATCGAATTTTTGTGCCAGAAAGACCGACTTTTATTTGTAGTAAAATTCCATTCGAGTATAGTTTTCAAATTTGACAGTAATTTGAATTTAACGTGTGTTCTATGTTCGAAATAAAGGCGCTTTTACTATTTCTTGACAGATTTAACAACAATTATGCATGATATTCAAATATCGTTATTTATTTTAAATAAAATTTATTAGTTAGTAAAAGAAAATTTTCTAATTAATATTACTGAAGCAATGGCTGAAAGTAAAATAAATAAATTAAATAACACGTGAAAAATTTTGATCCCAAATTGCTGACATTCCAAATAAATAACCATATGATTTAAAACATTAAATCAGTCCGTAAAATATCTTTGAATCAAAATTATTCATGTATCTAATCTATTTTTTTGCTTTCAGCCATGACTTCAGTTAACTTCAGATCAGAAACTATTTTCTCATTAAATCATATCTATTCATAATAATGACATTTAGATATCATATGTTGAAATTTTATGAACATTTTAGAGAAATTATATAATAGCGTCAGTGTTTCTGATTCATATATAACTTAGCGCTGTTAGTTTCAAATTGCGCTTTCATTTAAAAAATACTACGCAATTTCACTAGAGAAAAAAATTTACTTCTGGCACAGAGAATCATATTGTGCGTTTCGTGTGCAAAATTCTACAATGCACCCGGCATATTACGCAGCGAAATATGAATAAACGCATGAATTTCGCAATCGATATAAGAATTAAACGGAAAAGGTATAAAAGAAGTAATTATTTAAACATGTAACAGAGTTTAATGCTGGAATGCTTGCAAACGCGATTTATCCACAAATAATCGCCTAAATTTAAAAAAAACAAGACAATTGTAAAGAAAATTGAAAGATCCCTAAAAAGATGTGTCAGTTGCTTCCTATTGCTACTTAAGATTTTTAAAGTTGTATTTACTCTAATGAAGCGGATAAAACAGCATTGAATTGAATTTATCATATAATTATACATTCCTTTTAAAAACAAAATTGACATACTTCGGCATATTTTACACAAATCAATCAATTGCAAAATACTGAAAAAAGCTGAAAAATTTGTGTTGATTCACTCTCAGTATACGTACACACAGCTCACACGGACTCACGCACGCACGCGCACGCAACAAAAGAGAATATATATTTAACATATAGATATATTTTAAAAATAAAATATAATACCTATATATTACAATAAAATAATACGTATTATACCAAATATATATTATATGCAAAATATATAACATAAATTGACATATGTACATACAACTATACATATACATAGGATGACATGATACAAAAGATAATATATTTTCTAAAATTCTCCATCAATTTCCTTTTTAAAGAGATTTAAGGCTCCTATTCACTCATTACTGTCTCAGATTGTGACATCAGAAACGAGAAAATATACAATAAAAGTTCTTGCAAAATATATTTAAATAAAAATTATCAACATTTATTTAATAAACCAACGTATAATTTGTAATCGATAGAATAGATTCATACCGGAATATACCGGAAACTATTTTCAAGAAGGAATTACATCATATATATTTCTGTATATTAATAATTTAAGACAGTTGTCATAGCTGTGAACATAGCTATTTCTATTTGGTTATGCACAATTTACATTTCCAGATATATGATTATTTATCAATTAACGAAATAAAAGGAGAATTTTACGAGTCGGTTCTATCGATTAAGTATTGCTTTATTAAAATATACTTCCATTTTAATATATTTTGCAAGAATTTTATTGTATATTTTTTCGCTTCTGACGTCACAATAGATAGCCATGGTGAAGTGAACAGGAGCCTTATAAAAAAAATTCAAAAAAATCAATGAGAAAAAGGCCAAAATTAAATCATCTTTCAAAACTCTATTAATATATCAAAGCATTACTGACGTGAACACGACACTTTGTACAAAAATAGATATATAATTTTCTTGAAACTATATATATTAATTTCCGAATGCAATCGATTTCTCTTTTTATTATATCTCTGAATGCTGCGCGATGTTGCAACACGAGAATCATCGTGCCTAATCAAAGATCGGGCAAACATCTGAATAATCGGTTGAAAACATCAGCTCAAACAGAGATCATTCTCTCTATTCCCCTCCACGGAAAATCGGAATTTCCCAACCACGACATCCGACATAAATCGACAATGATCTTGTTCGCTCGTTTTGCGAACCTAAAATCGATTGAGAAAACTTTGGGAAATCAAAGCCCGAATAAAGTCGATGACATTGATTAATCCATTGATTAATGCACAAACAAGAAACAAAAAATGTCCAGTTGTGCAGAAACAAATTTGCTTAACTAATGATTATCGATTCGTACAAAGGACGATTCGTACGAAAGACATATTAAATATTAAGAAAATCGAGACGAAAACGCAGTTAACTCTTTCGTAATTAGCGGTATACCAATTTATTTAGTTTCAAAAAAATAAACAAAAATTTGCAGATAAAATTAGCGCTCAATCAAGGATTCAATAAGACTTATGTTCACTCACTACTAGATTATGACGTTAGAAATGAGAAGATACATAATAAGAATAAAAATTCTTGCAAAATGATTCCAATAAAATTATAGATTAAATATTATATAGATTAAAATAAAAATGTTACAATAAAACAATACATACAATCAATAGAATCAACTTGTGAAATATATCGAAAATTCTCTCCTTTTGTCTTATTAATTAATAAATAACCATCTGGAAATGAATTATGCATAAATAATGAAATAAGTTATGCTCACACAGCTATGACAAGTATTAAATTAATAAATATATAGAAATAAATACGATTTAATCCCTTCCTGAAATAAAAAGATAATTTTCACTACATTTTGTGACTGTATTGTATCGATTGCAATGTTCTTTTATTAAAAAATATTTTCATTGAATATATTTTGTAAGAATTTTTATTGTATATTTTCTCGAATTCTTACGTCACAATTTGAAATAGTAGTGGTGAGTAAACGCCTTAAGGAGATCAAACATGGATAACGCATACTGTACGATTTTAATTGCACCAGTGATTTTGATTAGGTAACTCCACTTGGATTCGCTCTTCTTGAGTTTTTGCATTCGATTTAATAAGATCTTTTATCACGTATATTTTTCTGGATGATAAACTTGATTACATTATAGAAAGAAAAATAAATCGATTAATGGCGAGTAACTTGGTGACTAAACCAAAAAAAGATACAGATTGTCGATCGCAAATCGAAGCCGACGAAATCAAAACGAAAAGAATGGATCACAACAAATATCATCGTTATTAATTAACTTTACTAGAGAATCAACTTATCCTTTTAAACCGTTTCCGTCATACAACTAAAGAGAGAGAGAGAGAGAGAGAGAGAGAGAGACAGAGAATCGAATATTAGAACATTAAGAACATTAATTCGATAGTAAATAAATCAATTAAAATAATATAATTATTAAAACAATAAGACATTATGATCATGTTTGACGTAATAAAAATCGATTTTAACAATTCCATGGCAAAATTGTATATTATTTTTAACTACATTAAAATCGCAAAG